GACGAGAGTCAGGGGAAGCTTCCCTGCAACTTTGGTGTCTGTAGGTGCCTGGTGGGGGGGAGCTTTCCTGGGGGGGGCTACTTGTGGGTGAACAATCAAACATCTAAACCCCAAACTTCACCAAACGTACAGAGCTTGTAAATAAGAGTCAGCGGAAGCTGTCCTGCAAATTTGATGTCTCTTAAGTGCTCGGGGAGGCATTTTATATGGTTTTAACTTTTTTAAAAAAGATAAAGCAACAAATTTGTAATTTGTGATTAATTGATTTTGATGATCACAAATTAAAACAAATCATATTTTTTATTCTTGCACATCTCTAATTATTATCATTATTATTTTAATTCATTCCTATAAATTATTATAAATTAGTGTGTGCATTAACAGATTAATTTATTTCTCCCCTCTCTCAAAATCTGAAGACCCTTCATGAGAAACTTTAAATAAACATTTGATGCACTTTAGGGTTTAAAATCTTGATTTAAGTCTTGGTGATCCTTGGCAACAAAAGATATTTAAAAGGGGTCCATGGTAAAGAAAAGGTTAAGAACCGCTCTGAAATACAGAGATAGTAAAGTTAATCTTCACTATGTTTTAATAGTTCCCATTGCACCAACTCACCTTTACTCAGCTACGTATTGCATTTAAATGTATCTGAAAATACCACATTGACTACTTTTGCGTTGTTGTTTTTTTTAACAAAAGCTTTCAGAGAAGGCAACTGGGTAGAAGAAAGAAACACTGCTGTTTAAAACGTGAAGGGGTCCCTGTATATATCAACTCAGATTTATATTTACATTGCCAATAACAATCTACAATCTGAAACGGAAAGGAACTCCAAACCTGTTCATATGGCTTTCAACCCAGGGATCCTGGTAATTATTGATAATTCTAACCTACTTTTTTTTCTCACCATACTCATTAAAACAGAAATCCACTTTAAATCTGTAGCACAGACATGCTCAAAGGCTGCAGAGATCCTGCCCCATTTTTTTGTCATTGGATCATATCATGGTATAAAGGAAGAACGTGGTTGTTAGCAATGCAAAGGGGGGAGTTCCACTTAGCACTGCTACTCCCAGTTTCTTGCGGTCTCACCGCCTGCAGCAAACCTGCAATTTTCAAGCCATTCTAGGGATACTAAAGGAACTACCCATTGGCATGTGGTTAACAGCCCGGGATACTTTGAGCACCGCCTTTTCCCACAAATACCAAATCCCATCTACACAACAAGTCCCTGTTCTGAATTCCTAGACCATGTGGGATCTGGTGGTAAGTGATGAGTCAGAACAGGGTGGAGGTGCAGTGACGCAAAGACTATGGAAACACCTCAACGGGCAGATTGTTCAGCTTTCCTGTGCCTCCTATAAAGACCCCGGAGAAACCCTGAGATTCTTTTATTTAGTTTTCTTAGCCAGATTAGAATAATCCCAAACCACAAGGGTCTAACTAACTAATAAGATTCTGGCTACTGTAAACTAAGAACTGGAAACTGTTTTGCTACTCAGATTATTTAACAGGCGTATGTTCAACCTAACACACCTCCCTGAGAAGCATACACCAAAAGGATCTCAAAGAGAAAGTGCCTGTAAAGCTATTGATGACTTGCTCTCTTGTTATTTTTTTAAGGAGCTATTTATATCATAGGAAGAGCTTGCAAAGGTCAAAAGCCTGGACTGACATCAGCATAGAAACAGACTCCGATCCAGCATTCTCTGTACTTTGATGGCTGCTTATGGATAAGACTTTCTTCATTCATTTCAACAGAGGGATTGTATCTTCTGTATACACAAATTAGGACCCTCTGCAAGAGATGCTATCAAAGCTTTCAGTTTTCTTCTTTTGGAGATGACCTTCATGGGTTTTCATGCTAGTATGAAAGAAGTTGTGAAAATTTTATTTGCTGCTAAATTTCCTTTTTCTGGCTTTTTGCAAGACAAAGAATTGTTAGCTTCACTCTTCAACTTTCAGACAGGTTTCTCCACTGTCATACTAAAACTCTGAAAATCGACTCCAACCTTTTTCCTTAATACTTAAAAATAAGTCCACCAATTTGGGGATTGCAAAGTGTTTTGTAGGGGGTCATGGGTTGCCTTATATGTATTGTAGGGCTATAAGTGTTGTAGCCCTTGTCAAATATTTTCTTCCTTGACTTTTTGCAGTGAGATATTAAAGTTGACATATTTGTGTATGTATGAGAAACAGACCCTTTGAGGGATGAAGAAGCCTCTACTTTGTGAAACTGAATGACTTTACCCTATTAAAATGTTTATGCAAACATGAGTGGGAGGGTTGCAGGCTACTTGGCTGTTATAAAAGGGGGTTATGACCCCTCAAAAAAGGTTGGGAAACACTGTTTTAATAGAACTTCTGGATAGCTCAGTAGTTTAGGTTTCTGGCTGCCGAACCAGAGACTGGGAATTAGATTCCCAACTGTGCCTTGGGCTGGATTCAATGAACCATAGGAGCTCTGCTGTTCTAAGATGATGAGTAGTAGTAGTAGTAGTAGTAGTAGTAGTAGTAGTAGTAGTAGTAGTAGTAGTAGTAGTAGTAGTAGTAGTATCATCATCATCATCAGTTGGAGTAGTGGTATTTCAAAGGAAAGCGGCAAGGGTAGACTGTCCCTTCCCCTTCATACTCTAGTAACAAAGAGGTCTGCAGAACCACCAAAGCATGGAAGGGGATAACGGAAGGGAAAGACATCCATCTTCCCATCCCTCTGTCTACATCTGAGAAGTATTTATGAAGAAAGATAAATGGAAGTTAAAGAGACTATTTGGAAACCCAGGTAAAGCTGATAGGAAGGGACTGACAGCTACAACACATTTAATTCGAAGTGAGCTATTTCCAAATTTATTCTGAATAATTTTGCTTTTCCTTGTGCCAAATCCATCCTCCTCCACTGAGCTGAATAGCACAGACTTCATGTAGAAATCACAGTATGGGCACCTCTCTGTAAATTAACTTTCAGTCAGGACACATGCGTGTCTGGCATCTTTTCCAGAGCTTGGAAAGTCACTTTGGTGGTGGCCATGCCGGCTGAGGGATTCTGGGAGCTGTAATGCCAAAAAGGAGATTTTTTTCCAAAGCCCCCTTGTTGTTTGTTTGCTTGCTTGCTTTTAAATACTATATGAAGAGGCAGCTCAAGCGATCCAAGTCCTTTTGGTTTACCAAACGGTTTTGCTGCTTTTGCTGAATCTTCTTTTCTTCTGTTGCTACTGTCCTTAGGTCGGCACTGTCTATTCTGATCACCAATCTATCTTTAAAAGTTCTGGTTAAAGTCTCTGCTAGCTCACCTTCCTGAAACCCTTATAACTAAATACACTACACTGTTGGGCCAAAAGGACATGCTCTATCCTGCACCTCCTTGGAGCCAGAAAGAGGAAAAATGCAGAGGATGAAATCCACAGATAATCTGCTGACTCAGTTTTCCATAAAAATGCCCATTTCCCCCTTCCCCCTATAAATTGGGTTCCTCCATAATTACTACTACTTGGGCTTCCTGATATCCTGGGAATATTAAGTATCTAGCTGCTGGTCCAGCACAGAATCTCAGCTCTGTGCTCTGCCAGAACATGCTGCTAATTCTTGTACGTTTTTTCACATTCACTGCTAAATTAACTGCAGTTCTATCTCAAACCACTTCTACTTTCAGAGGAATTTAGCAGCAACACTGAGAAACCACTAGCAAGTAACCTCTCTCAAAATGGCAAGCTGCTTCAAAATGGAACGATTTACAGATAAATTATTATCACACAAACCCTCCTGAAAGGAAGAAAACATGGTGCTCTTTGAACATATTGAGGCTTGGGCTGAAGCCCCTGGGTTACCGAGATGAGTATGAGCATTGCATGCCGGCTGGTTTTATGCTTATAAATAATTGCAAGTCTTCCTTTAAACACCCTAGATTAGTGGTTTGGCTAGATTTCACAACCTCTCAATTTGTGAACTTTTTGGTTATGATCCAGCCATGCTTTCAGACTTTCCTCCACCCAGAGGATTAAGAACCGCCCTTGCCTAATAGTAAATGAAAAGGCAGATAGTAATAAAACTTATGAAGCTGGAAATTTAACAAGGAAAAGAAAGGATCAACATTCCCCAAAACTTGCAATCCCGTGGGCTTTGGATTGGAAGCGTGTTTGGGAAAATGTCTCTTAATGCATCACATTTGCAGACAAGGGATGTAAAAGGTCAAAACAAAATCTGTGTTGGGTTTGAGAGCACTAGCATGTGTGACTCTCGGCAGGCTGTAAGGATCTTTTTTGGAACCCCGCAGTTAAGAGGCCTCTGAACTATAGCTTGGTACTGTTTTGTTGATTGTGTCAAGTGTTGAACCAATGGTATATGGGAGTTATGACCAGTGTTCTAGTAGAGCCAGGATTCACAGGGTCAAAGCCCAAAGACTTCAGAATTATGGCATCGTTTGCTACCCACCTCAAACTTCCCTGTTTCCTCTGAGGTTGGCTGCAACTCTCAGAGGAGCTGGGAAAGAAATGGATTTTCCCAGGACCAGACTACTTTGCAAGCTATCCCTGTTGTAATGAAAAGTATTTGATGACATTTTTCTTGAATGAGCAATTAAGATCCATTAAGATCCTTATTTGTTTATAAGGACTGATCCAGCTGCCTGCATGTCTGAATTCTCCTTATGGGAACTGTCTATAGACACTGTCATAATGTACTTCCAAATTTACCACTCATCATTGGCCTTGTCTAAGCATTTCGCCACAATGAACGTTCAGAAGCACTTTTCCGTGAATGCGCAAGGACCGTGCATACAACTGCAGGCAAACTCTAATAGGCATTTGTCACATGCCTAGGTGAGTGCAAGCATATTGCAAGCTTTGCTTTAGCATGCCTTGCCCAATCCAAGCCTACCCAAGAGTTCTCCAAAGATTTTGGCATTCTTTCCTGCTGTGCTAATGCCCCCCCCCCAATAACTTTGTTCTACCAAGCATTTTAAATGCACTAGGAGTACAAGCGTGGAGCTGACGGGTGCTTACCTTTGGTTTTAAAAGCAAAGTTACAGTACTTGCAGACATAAGGCCTGACGTCTGTGTGCGTGCGAATGTGTTTCTTCAGCATGCTGGGTTTCTTGCAGCGAATTCCACACTCCTCACATACATACTTCCCTCGTCCACGGCCTCGCACATACACATACTCTTCGTTTGATTTGTACCTATGAGCAACAGGGTGTCATGGTAACAGAAACAAAAAATGCCCACCTTAAAGTAGCAACAGGTCTCCTTTAAAGACAAGAATATATCAATAACTCAACACACAATCCTATTGCATTATTCATGACAAAACAGCTTTGCTGGGCATTTATTGAATGATGGCCAAGCAATAATGGAGCTGCATGTGTGCAGAGGGGAGGGAGAGCACTACGCAATGAGTGCAGGGAGCTTTCCTTTATAACGACAACTCTTCCATTCACTTCAGTGAAAAACACATCCTCAGGCACATTCCTTGCTTTTCATACTTGAGAGAGCTAGATTGCTACAGAGCCTGGAATGTAGTTTTTAAAAGTAATTAATTATCATTATAGTCCCAGCCCCCTCCCCATGTACATAGCCACCATTTTGATTTCAGTAAGGTAAATCTTTATTTTCATTGTTATTCAAAATTACAAAAAGGTTATTTGTTTTTTAGTTACTTTAGTTTAAAAGATGTCTAAATGCTACAAGCTGCTGGCTTTTAATACACAAGAAATAAAAGCAGCGAGGCCACGACACATCTAATAACTAAGTTAACTTTTGATTTGATTTGATACTATAAGTAACAATATAACAAAAGGAGTGGTGTTGTCCCCTGTTATATTACAAGCATTATATAAATTACTTATACTCTGAGTACTGCAGCAAGGAATTAATTGCAAAGCACCACTTGAAAGTTACTTTTTCAGACTAAGTCCCAAAAGGCCCTATTCAGCATGTGTTCTGATCATGCTAGTTGGAGATTTTTGGAATCTACAGTGAAAAACAGGAAAAAAAAATCTTTCTTACATCTCTCAAATTACTGCTTATAATTAGTTCCTTCCAAGCTCTGGTATACACTAATAATTATATCATTAGACTAGAAACTAGAAGATCCAGGTTCAAATTCTCCACCAATCAACAAATTCGAGTAGTGAAGGATGTACAGTAGGACCCCTTATCCACAGGGTCAGTTTGCACTGATTCACTTATCCACGGACGAAAAATGTTAAAAATATTTAAAATATTAAAAGAAAAAAATCTAGAAAAAATATTTTCACTTGTATTACCAGAACTTGCCACTAGAGGGAGCCAGATACCATGCTATAAATGCAGGTTAGTGAAGAACATATGATCTCTGATGGCCTCTAATAGCCAGTTCTGATAATACATGTGGGAAAAAAATCAGTTTTTTTCCTTTTACTATGCTATATTTATAGCATTCATTATTATCTATGGTTTTCAGTATTCACAGGAGGGCCTGGAACCAATCCCCAGTGAGAATGGTGTCCTACTGTACAGAGAGAGCATACAGGCCACCCTGACATCTATACTGGAAGAGAAGTGTAAATATATATTAAAAAACAAATACATGGGTTCACTTCCCTGGCAGAATGAATAGGAAACTCCATACAAGCAATTTATTTATTTATTTATTTCATTTATACCCCACCTATCTAGTCAGTTTTGACCACTCTAGGCGGCTTACAACACACACTAAAAACTTAAACATATAACATATCATGAAACAACATGCCTACTATATTGGACATAAATCTCGAGCACTAATTATGGTGTTAACCTCCTTGCCAAACAGGCAAATAGATGTGGTTTCCAATAGTTTTACCCCAAACAATATGAATGATATGGATGCTTTCTAACATAGAAAATTTGTTTTCCAGAATAATGCCTGGCTTCCTAAAATTTCTCCTACATTCAAAGCACTGAGAAAAATGGTTCTTGGCCTCATCGAACTTAAAAAGATCACCATCCGAAATCTCCAACAGAAAAATATGAAAATGGATATACCTTAGAACTTTTCACTTAAAAAAAAAACCACCTGGGGGGGGGGGTCAGGGAGAAAACCAAAAGTTTTTGGAAGTCCAAAAATAAGAGAGAAAGATTTGAAATTGCTACATAATATTTTATTTTTAATTGTATGCCATCACATTGATTCTGATCCAGTGAAAAACCTTTCCAGGATTTTCTAGGTAGAGAACATACAGAAGTGGGTCACCTTTCCCTTCTTCTGAGGCTCCCAGGGACAATGCAGCTGGCCCAAGGCCACAAAGGCTGGCTCTTCTCCCTGGAGGCACAGGTGGGGGGGGGGGAATACAAACGCCCAACCTCTAGCTCTGCAGCCAGATACCTAAACCACTGAGCTATCCAGCCAGCTACATAGGATCAGGCTGACCAAAAAAAAAGGTCCACAAGCAGTGGCAACAAAAGGTCTTGTAGCACTTTAAAGACTAACAATTTTTATTTGGCAATGCATCTTCACAAACTGCAGCACACTTCATCAGATGCATTACAAAGTCTGTATTTTCTATAGCAGACCAACCACTAACATGGTTATTTTTAAAAGTGATACATGTGGGAAAGAAAGAAAGAAAGAAAGAAAGAAAGAAAGAAAGAAAGAAAGAAAGAAAGAAAGAAAGAAAGAAAGAAAGAAAGAAAGAAAGAAAGAAAGAAAGAAAGAAAGAGAGGTCAAATGTATGTCAAGCATGACAAAAATGAGCACAAGGACCCTGAGAGAAAAAGAAAGCCAACTATTACATCAACAGATTTCAACTGGAGGTGTGATTTGAATTTTATTCTTTTTACTACATCTCCTAGAATTTCATAGGCAGCTATGTTGCTGTCCGAAAACATAAATTTGCACAATATAATTTCCATAAAACTCAAGTAATCAGTGCTATATAATTCAGTGCAATATAATTTCCATAAAGCTCAAGTGATCAGTGCAACTCATATCGCTGATAAAAGAATCCTCTGTTGTCAAATATCTTGTCTTTTAAATATTCTGCAAGCCACCTTGGTTGAATGAATCATTTGCCTCCAAAGTTTTCTCCCAGGAAAACATTCACCTACATCTCATGGACCTTCTTCTTTTCGATCCTTGGCCTTACATGAGAACAAGATCTAATGTCATCTAAAACAAGACACACCACCAACCCAACCACCACTTTCTTTTGTTGGCTGCCCTCTTTTAAAGAGAAAGAGGAAAGAAAAGGCAAAGCTAAAATTTGAAGAGGCATGAAAGGACACAATATATGGTAGAGTTCGTGTTGCGACTTGCTGTCGAGTCTGACTTAATTTGCACTGGTGCCTTGACTTGGACTCAGCTTGGAGGTCCCATGGGGGGGCTTGTGACTCAACGTGTAACTCAGACCCATTTGTCTGAGTCATGTTGTCAAGTCCCTACCAACCTAGTTGCTGCCACTACCACCTGCCGCCTACTGCCACTGGCTGTTCCTGCCGCTGCTGCCATTGACCTACCTGCCGCCACTGCCCCTGCCCACCATCCACTTACCTGCTGCCGCTGCCACCACCATCGACATCTTCAGAGGCAGCAGGCCCAGCTTCACTTCTCAGAGTCAGCTCCTACCCCTGCACATGAGCTAGCCTAGCATATGTGTGGATGGAGGCAGCAGGCAGCTCCTGGAAGGGAAGCCAGGCCTGCTGCCTCTGAAGACAGTAGTGGTGGATGGTCACAGCAGCAGCAGCAGGTAAGCGGATGGTAGTGGCATCCGTGGGCAGCTGGCAGGAGCAGAGCAGGGAGCGGCATAAGACTCAAGTTCAGACTTGGCACTCAGGCCCAAAGACGTGGACTTGAGACTCGGGTTCCAGGACTTGCCAACATCCCTGGTGGAGTGGGGAAGGAAACAGAAAGCAGCTAGCTTGCTCACAGAGGTTAATAAACAACAACAAAACACACTAACCCACATCCACATTAACACACACACACAAAGCACACACATCTGTTTTAAAAATCAAAGGATTCTCAAATATGTACATGGATCTTTCCAAAATTCTGCTAAATACCTATGAATTTTTGAGTTCTGAATTGCTTTCCCTTCCCAAAGGTGTATTCCTCTAAAAATTAAAGTGATCTGTGAGTAAATTTTACAGAATATCTTGCATATTTTATACAGAGATCTTTAGGGTTTTAAACCAAAATTACTATATTTTCATATTTCCCCCCATGTTGCTTGTTTGAAAAAAAAAATGCTGGTTTTTCAGCCTCCATACAGGAGTGAAAAATCTCATAGCAGTTGCCCATTTTCGATGTGTTGATACACTGTTTTTCATTAGTGACAAGAAAATGTAAGTGTTCATTGCATTCTTTGTCTCCACCTGCAGAACTATATATACTATATACCCAGTTATGGGTAACTGTGGCCTCAGTGTTGTACCCCATATATCTGAACAAGTGGATTATAGTATCTATCAGTGGTTGACTGACAGAGGTAGGTTTCAAAACAGTAATTTCCTGATTTATTGTTGTCTCAGGGACAATGCTCACTTATCTGGGGGCACATCTGAGTACACACTGTATTTATTTATTTATTTATTTATTGGACTTATATACCGCCCCATAGCGCTACAAGCACTCTCTGGGCAGTTTACAATTTTAATTATACAGGCTACACATTGCCCCCCCAGCAAGCTGGGTACTCATTTTACCGACCTCGGAAGGATGGAAGGCTGAGTCAACCTTGAGCCGGCTACCTGGGATTTGAACCCCAGGTCGTGAGCACAGTTTTAGCTGCAGTACAGCGTTTTAACCACTGCGCCATGAGGCTCTTATGTATGTATGTATGTATAAATGTATGTATGTATAAATGTATGTATAAATGTATGTATGTATAAATGTAAGTACACCACATATACACAAACATGCAGTATGTGCATCCAGTGAAGGGAATTATAGTATACTGAAGCTTAATATCGAAAAACATCTTGCTTCAGATGTCACAGGACTCTTTGGAGTCGATTTCTACACTGGTCTTTTTCCTCCCTCTGCTCTATCTCTCACTGGTCACCTCAACATTCACCCCAATACTCACTTCCAATTGTGTGGGTAGTAATTTCACTATTTACAAATTAGGGGCAGGGATATCAATTTCACAGCTATATTCACCCAAATATTGCTGATTAAAATACCAGTGGTTTCAGCCTATATTGTTTGTAAGATTCATTG